TTGTGATGTTGCAACCCAATAAAAATATGTGTAGATGTAGATGTTATAATCTATTTTAGTCTTTCAGCCAGTAGTTTTTTCTTGTCAACTTTCACATTTTATCAGTGAAAAATAAAGTTAATCATAGTTTCAGTTCAAATTCAATTTTTAATCAAGGGAAACACCATTATGAATATATTATTTTTCACTCACGTGGTCAACAGACATGATTTTATGAGATTAGCTGAAATGGTGCTTATTAAAATGTATTTCATGCTTGCTTCTGCTTGAAACTTAGAAATGTAAAACAAAAGTCAATAATAGTTGTTAAATGAAAAAGTAAATACTGACAAACATTTTTGAAATGGAAGCTGGGAAAAAATTTTCTATGATCGCAAATTTACAATACGATATAATGTATCTTTTTTAAGAAATATATTTTTTTTATTTAAATTTCGTTTATGTGGCCTCTAGAAATGAAAACGTAAATAATTTCATCAACACGTTTTCTTGGAGAAACCTCATGAAATGTTTAAATAAAATACAACAAAATTGCTCATCAGTGTTTTTATTATTAAAAAATATTACAAATAAATAGATTTCAATGATATCCAAAATTTACCAAGCGATGGATTAGGAAAAGTTTTACCACTTCAATATCCTAATGTTGTTAAAACTACACATTTCTTTTGTAAAATTTATAACGGTAAACTGACGTTTGTTAAATATCAGTGCATCAAACAGTACTCGATACTACTAGGTCCGTTAAAAAATAAACTAAAAGATAGACTCTCTCCGCAAATGCAAATCGTCCTTTTATAAATCATAAATTAACATGAGTGGTACATTGTGTATCTTAACTGAAAGAAGAATAAAATGTTTGTAGTTTATTAGTTAGCTAATAAGTTCTGTATTTCGATTGCTGCATATCCAATCATAATAATATACGTTTAACTCCAAAATTATTTTAAAAGGGTGTTATAAACTACAATAATATTAAGCGTAATAAAATTCAAACTAACTAGAACATTAAATATTGATATGTAATCCGTTCGCTATAATCACTTTATTTAGTGTTTTTATTTAGTTTTTGACTATTTATTCTTAGAAGAATTTGGTAATGATTAAATAAAATAAATCCCTGTTTCGTGTTAAGAACCATGTTATTCGATTATACTGATAAAATCTTCATTTGCTGTAAAATTAAATTGAATTTTATTGGAAAGAATATAAATTTTAGGTTAAACCCTCGCGATCCATATTAATATATGTGTACAGTTCGTTGAAAGATAAATAAAATAATTGTATTAACTAACTGTATATAACTGAATTAAATCAATCGATTTAAATCACTATTAAACTGTTTTATTAGGTTCACCGAAGCAAAAAATTTAATCACTAGCCGTAGACTCGTCTCAGGGTTGCTTTTGGTGATTTTAAATTGAAACCGGAACTGTGGCTGACGTTCAATTTGCTTATATTATCCACACAGGAGTCTGGAAAAGCTGCCTTAGCCTTATAATAAAAATAAGTACTCTTTGGAATTATCATCAGTACTTGTAGCAGTAGTGAGGTTTTCTTAATAGGAAGTGATTTAAGTAAACTGTTAAATTATAATTTTTTTTTCTCAATATGAGTAGGGCTAACATTGGTATGGATTATTATGCATCAGTTTTTACAAATTGATTTAGAAAATAATAGAATATGACAGAAAGTACCTTTTGTCACTTTATTCAACTACTCACAAAAGAAAGTTTAAACTTTTATACCTGGCTAATATGTTGGTATTAGATAGTTTAAGGTCTAAAAACTTAGAATATTAGAAATTATTGAGAAGAAACTCAATTAACCAACCTCAACTTCCGCCCAACACTTCTAATTTCCTTGCCAATACGGAATACCCTGTACAAATTTCACGTGTTCATTTCATTTTGTAAATACAGCACTAAATACAAAAATGGGTTATGCTAATTTGTTTTATGATAGAACAGATATAATATTTTTGAATTGTCATATATCAATAATTTTTCAACAGTAACATGTTTTATTACTACAGTATTAAATTTTCTATAAACAAGCTACAGTATAAAGGGTACATTAGGTTTTTCAGATTATGTTCAATAGGTAGTTGTGAAGACCAGGATTTGAAAGTAAAATCTTGTTATATTGTTGCATGAAACACCTTATGACAGCCTTATAACAGCCTTAACAGTTATAACAGCCTTATGGGTCAACCTATAAAATCTCAATAATGTTTAGTACCAACTAAAAGGAACAAGTTTACTACTTATTATATAGCGATGTTTTTACCAAACCAAATTTATTATTCTAACCAATTACGCTATTAAAAACCAGGTAAATATTAAGTAACATTAATTATTTGCTTATACTGTGGTGCTTATACTGTCTATTTTAACAGAACAAAATTAAACCCTTGTAAAAATTTCAAGTTATAAATACAGAATTGAATTAGAAATATAACTTATTAAAAATATTTTCTTAGGAAATTGTTTGTTTAAAAAAATCCCTTCGATTTCAGGTAATGGAGATACTTGAAGGTGTTTGGAAAGCTCTTCGTGAAAAGCAACTCGAAGGACTTTGTCTTTGTTTTAAAGATTGATGACTTTTCAGTCTCCCAGTATTTTATATTATGGCTCTGGTCCAAATGAAAACCGTATTCTTTTTGTATTGCAATTTCATAAGTAGACTGGCTTAGCTCAATTAAGAACAGTAAATTCACGCTGACATAAATTTGAGCCACAATTTCCTTAATCTCAGAAATGTTTAATGTTTGGAGGTCGGTGTTATTGGAATTGGTATCTAACAATTTAATCTTTCCATCATTAAAATAGTAACTAAAACAACTTAATTCATATGAAATAAAATATGACTATTTTGTTGACGTGTTAAGTTATATTTGAATGGATAATGAATGGTGAGTTATAAATGGCAATAAAGTCTTCGTTTTACTATACCTATTTTAGTCATAAATTGAATTCATAAAACAATATTCAGCTAAGATTTATTACATATTCACATTTCTTACGTCTTTAATTTTGAAATGATGAATTCTTAAAATCTTAAATTTTAGATGAGCTGAAATAATAAAAATAATAATTATTATCAGAGTACGGTATCATAATTATATTTTAACACGGCTTTTTCAGTTAGATAAAAACATTTTAGTATTATATATATTTTACATTTAGGCTACATCTAGTAGAAAAATGCAGATGGTTACATATTAAAAAAATTCTTAATTCCAAACAAATATAAAAGTTGAAGGAAAAGTTTTGAGACGAAGATATTCCTGATTCCATTAACCAGCTTACATCAAGGTAAATATTGAAAATTATATCTTCTACAGTGATCTCGGCAATATACATTTAGGTATGTGGTATTTTTATAAACTGAATTCCTTGGTGGTTAATTTAGTGGCTCATTTTGTGATACATATACTATGACTTTGGGTTTTTTTTTTAACTAATTCTTATCTTTGTATGAAATAACATCTAAACGTAACCGTACAAGTTTACGAATTAGATTATTTCTTATAAAGCTATAATTATTGTAAAATTATGTTTTCAATAACAGACACAATTTTTTAGCCCAAACAAATTTGGAATGAAAAGCGATCTTTTTAGTCTATGGTAAATAGTTAGAACAATGCATATTGTTTTTACTTTATGATTCATCCGTGATTCAGTTTTAATACGAAATTTAAAGAAGATGAGCTCATCGGGAAAGTTTTATAACATAATGATACACCAACCACATCCAGAAGGTAAAATACAGGGTGGTCATAAATTATTGTACACATTTTAAGATAAAATATATAATTACCAAGCAACCTAGAAACATGGGAACTGTTTCATTAAATAGCTAATTTTAAACAGTTTTATACAGTAACTGCACAAAATAATTATAAAAATGTCAGCAATTATGAAAAGTAATTATAAAAACACTTTAAAAATCACCTAAACTGTTATTGTAAGTTATGTTCTTCAGAGGTGATGACCCTTTAGACTATATTTTGGACACTTTCCAGTCGTTCGAATTGTCTGTACCACCATTTTATAGTATTTCTACACAGAGAATTACGGTTATACTCTAACTGATGTATAGTTTTAAACATGTGTTCATTAATTGATTGTTTATGTTTACCAATTTTGTAAATAGAATGGATTGAATAAAATAATGTACCTATCTTTTGATTTGAATCTAATTATTATACAACTAGCTGTACCCGCGGGCTTTGCCCCGTTTAACTTCACACGTGAGCTCGTTCGCATGGCTCAATCACGTCCTGGTTGAAGTTCGTTCGCTACGCTCACTCACCTTTAGGTTGGAGCTCATTCGCTGCGCTCACACGTCCTGGTTGAAGTTCGTTCGCTACGATCACTCACCTTTACGGTTGGAGCTCGTTCGCTGCGCTCACTTGCCTTCAGGTTAGCTCGTTCGCTACGCTACCTCGCCTCCGGGTTGAAGTTCGTTCGCTACGCTCACTCACCTTTTGGTTTCAAATTCTAGCTGTTGTCAAATATTAAAAAAAATGATAGTGCTGCACTCTGTTGGTAATCCTTGTAACTTTAATGCTATTGAACATCATAGAACAGAACCAACTTGTTTAATTGAAACAGCTGTTATGATTCATTAATTCCATTTAAATATGAGTACTCATTAGGTTAACATGCGAAACTCCAGAGCCACTGGGGCGGAGCCCGAGAGTCCGATCAGAATAAAAACCACTTAGTTTTCCTATTTAATGCCTAAAGAATCAGTGTACCAAATTTCAGCCTCCTAGGTAAGTGGGAAGTGGGAGAATTAGTGATGAGTGAGTGAGTGAGTCAGTCAGTCAGTCAGTCAGTCAGTCAGTCAGTGAGGGCTTTGCCTTTTATATATATAGATAAATGGCGACGAGGATGACGGAAATAGGAAATATAAAGAAGTTGAGATCAGTTGCAAAAAGGCAAATTTCCAAAGCATTTAAACTAATTATAGAAAATAAAGCAACTGATAAAATGACAAGTGCAGAGATAGAGGTGAGGTTAGACAGTTTAAGATCGTATTGGAAACAATTTGAAGATGCACAAACCAAAATTGAACTAGCCACTGAAGATGAAGAACAAGATGATCTAGCCTCGTACAGAAGTGAGACAGAAGAAATGTACATTGTTTTAGAAGCAGTATTGAGAAATGAAAAGACACGACACAATAATACAGAGCCTACAGCAGCAAATCCACATAACAAGGAACCAAGCACAACATCAAACATTAGTTTTGTTCCATACGACGAAGAGGAATCTTTTAGGAATTTCATTAAAAGATTTGAAAATTTTCTGGTACTTAAAGATGTAAATGAAGAGAAAACAAAGCTTTGTAGTTTACTACATGCACTTTCACCTAAACTACATGAACGGCTTCTAGACATAGTTGCCCCTGATGACCCTTACAAGATGAACTATGAAAATGTTGTTACTGTTTTAAAAGACCATTTGGAACCATTACCAAGTGTATTAACATTACAACATCGCTTTGTGTGTAGAGTACAACAACCGAATGAGTCAATCATCGAATTCGCTATGGAATTGAAGAAACTGTCTAAAGATTGTCAGTTTAACTGTGATTGTGGAAAGTCAGTAACTGATATGTTATTACGCATGCAATTGGTAAGAGGACTTCACGACCATGATATTAAAGGACAACTTTTACAGAAGAAAATTGTAACTACTTTTAAGGAAGCACTTGAACTTGCAACATCACTGGAAGCTTCGAGAACTGAAAGCAGCATGATGACTGCTCACACAGCACCACCAGCAGTTCCAGTGCTCAAGGTTGTAGAGAATCAGACAAGAAAATGGGACAGATACTCTGGGAATAAGAACGCTGTACAGGCAACAAACAAAGACCAATATTCTCCTTCCCGTTCAAAGTTTTCAGGTCTACAAGGACGGTGTTATCGGTGTGGAGATAAAGACCATAGAGCAAATACATGTAAGTTTAGAAATGAATTTTGCAATTTATGTAACAAAGTAGGGCATATTGCAAAGGTATGTATGGGAGGACCAAGAAAACAACGAATTGACCAACTAGAGGACAGAGAGATTGAAAAACAGTTAGATCATACTACCTACGATTCTTATAAACTTCAAGTAAATAACAGTGATAAGTTCATTATGAAAATAGAAATTGAAGGAAAACCATTATCTATGGAACTTGATACAGGAGCAGCGCTATCTTCAATCTCATTTGAGGACTATAAGAGATTAGATATCAATAAAAGAATGTTCAAATCACATGTACAGCTTCGCACATATACAGGTGAAATCATACAAACTAAGGGCGTAGTATATGTTAGGTTTCAGTACAAAGAAAAGATTTACTTCGGAAAACTATTTATTATCGACCAAGATGTTGAACCAATATTTGGTAGAGACTGGATAAGAGAAGTCAATTTAGAAATTGGTGATATTAGAATGTTGAATCAAAACTCATCTGAGTTGACACAAGTTCTTGACAGTTATTCAGATATATTCAGTAAGGAAATTGGTTGCATTCCAAATGAAAAAGGACACCTGAATCTAAAAGAAGACTGTGGTCCAATATTTGTGAAGCCGAGGCAAGTGCCCTATGCTATTAAACAAAAGGTGGAAGAAGAACTCGATCGACTGGAAAAAGCTGGTATTATTACAAAGATTGAAAACTCAGAATGGGGTACGCCAATTGTGCCAGTAGTAAAACCTAATGGTTCGGTACGAATATGTGCAGATTACAAGACTACGTTGAATAAAGTTATCCGTGATGAGAAGTATCCAATACAAAGAATTGAGGACATCTTTGCAGAGATGAATGGAGGTAAATTTTTCTGCACACTCGATGTTAGTAATGCTTACTTACACATGCCAATGGACTCTGAAAGTGCTCTGCTACAAACAATAAGCACTCAGAAAGGTTTGTATAAAGTAAACAGGTTGATGTTTGGAGTGAAAGTAGCACCAGCACTGTGGCAAAGATTCATGGATAAGGTACTGCAAGGGACTGATGGAGTTAAGTGCTTTTTCGATGATATAATCATTCAAGGTACAGATTACAAGAGTACACTAGAGAGATTAAAAACTGTCCTAGAAAAACTTAGAGCGCATAACTTGAAATTAAATTTTGACAAATGTAAATTCTTTCAACAAAGAATAACATACTTGGGACATACAATTGATGAAAACGGGCTGAAGAAAAACTCAGAAAAGGTCAAAGCAATTATCGAGGCAGAAAAACCTAGAAATGTGAATCAACTACGATCTTTCATTGGCATGGCCAATTACTACAACAAATTCATACCAAGACTGGCCGAAAAGCTATATCCATTGAATAAGTTACTACAGAAAGGACAGCGATTTGAATGGTCACAAGAATGTGAAAACAGCTTTATCAATGTTAAAAAGCACATAGCCAATGACAACACTCTAGCACACTACAATCCAAAACTTCCTCTAATACTCTCAACTGACGCATCTCCTTATGGATTGGGAGCAGTAATTTCCCATAAGTTTCCTGATGGGTCGGAACAACCCATAGCTTTTGCTTCCCGATCTTTATCAAAAAGTGAAAAACAGTACAGTCAAATAGACAAAGAAGCTACAGCAATTTACTGGGGGGTAAAGAAATTCTTTGCTTATTGCTATGGACGAAAGTTTGTTCTTCAGACGGACCACAAACCTCTTGTTTCCATATTCCATCCATCAAAATGCTTACCGGCAATGTCAGCTACTCGTTTATTGAACTACTCACTTTTCCTTGCTGGGTTTGATTATACAATTGAGTATAGAAGAACTTCAGACCACTGTAACGCAGATTTCTTGTCTCGTTTTCCAGTTGAACAAACTCAAGATGATGAAGACTTGTATTCCAAATTCCAAATGAATCAAATAGCAATTCTTCCTCTCACACAATGTACACTTGCAGAGCATACAAAGAAAGACTCTGTACTAGCTACAATAGTTACAGCACTAGAAAATGGAGAAAATCTGGAAAAGGTTGGTTTCCGAAATAATGATTTAAGTTTACATAAAGGTTGCATCTTTAGAGGTAGTCGAGTTGTAATACCTAACACATTGCAGAAAGAAGTTCTCAAGGAACTACACATTGGGCATTTAGGCATGTCGAAAATGAAGGCCATGGCGCGAAGTTATGTATATTGGAAAAACTTGGATAATGATATTGAAAACTTGGTTAATAACTGTGACAAATGCAAACAGAAAAGAAATGAACCATCTAAATTAAACCATCACCCTTGGGAAGAACCTACAGCTCCCTGGCATCGCTCACATTTGGATTTTTGTGGACCCGTAAATGGAAATTATTTCTTCATAATTATAGACGCCCATACAAAATGGTTGGAGGTTATACATACAAAAAACACTTCTTCAGACTGGTGCATTCGAAATTTAAGTCACTTATTTCCAACTTTTGGACTGCCAGTTATGATAGTAACAGACAACGGCTCCCAATTTACGAGTGCACTTTTTCAAAGGTTTCTAAGCAATAATGGAATTTGCCATAGGACTTGTGCACCTTTTCACCCATCAAGCAATGGCCAAGCTGAACGATTTGTCCAAACTGTTAAGAAATCATTGGCTGCCATGAGTGAAGACAAGGGAGACTTGCAGCATAAAATAGATCTTCTCGTAACTCAGCTACGCAAAGCTCCAAACTCTACAGGACTCTCCGCTTATGTGTTAATGTTTGGCAGAGACATAAGAACGAAACTTAACGTGATGGCAGATAAAGTTGAATGGAATAAAAAGACTATGTCGGAACACAAGCTGAAAAGAAATTTTCAGGTGGGACAGAGAGTACTGGTAAGAAATTATTCCTCAAAAGTAAAGTGGAAGGAAGGGAAAATAATTTCAAGAACAGGAAATGTTATGTTTAAAGTCAAGACAGACACTGGACTCACTTGGACTCGTCACTCAGACCAAATACTTCCCTTACACTAAGGGGGGAGAGTTGATGTATAGTTTTAAACATGTGTTCATTAATTGATTGTTTATGTTTACCAATTTTGTAAATAGAATGGATTGAATAAAATAATGTACCTATCTTTTGATTTGAATCTAATTATTATACAATACTAACCGAACCCTTCTTTGAACAGTTATTACAGATTTGCTTTCATGAAACCAAAGACGTTGCTTTTTATTGCACACTAGTAATTTTGTTACTTAATTTGGTTCAAGGTTTGATTACCAAATGTCATACACAGCTAGTGTAGAAAGGTCCATTGTTGTTTTGCTTTAGCAACTATGCCATGCTATCTATGCTGACTAGGCCACAACACAAGTCACAACAAAAACAACTTACACTCACTGTTTGGGTGATTTTTGCACATTTTTTATAACCACTTTTTACAATTACTGACATTTCTATATTATTGTTTTGCAGTTGATGTATAAAACTGTTTTAAATTTGCTATTCAATGAAACAATTCCCATGTTTCTAAGTTGCTTGGTTATTTGTTTATATAATCTTAAAATGTGTCCAATAATTTATGACCCTGTACAATAGTTCTGGCAAAGCGTTTTCCAGGATAGTAAATTATTTCCAGTGTTGAGGTTTGAACAAATTCACAACATGTGTCAGTACTAATGAAACATACTTTGAACAGTGATCGTACAATCCAGGAAACTTTAGTCAATATTAAATTCTATACTTCAAACTTTGAATATTCGTGGCTTTTGGAATAATTTCATTGGTTAATTATTCGAAATAAGTAAACATTAAATATAAATCAATTTTGGTCCGAAATACAATTTTATCACTAGAAACACATATAGCAAGCTTTATTACCAAGATTGGGGACACATTATTTACTATAATGTTATAGAAGTATGTATGAAGGGGAGTTATGAATCAATCATTTGATCTTTACCCAACTTTAAATATTATGTATTTAGAATTATTTTACTTGTTATTTTTCCTGCTAGCATCACTTAACTACTTTGTGGATTGTGTAGATTTTTTTCATTAGATCAATAGTTTTTATGCGTGATTAGTTTTTGCATATGAAAAACTGAGTTCGATATTGATTTCCCGTTTGTAAATTATATAGTTCGTTCAATCTATGAGGTATTGTATTAGGATTGTTGTTTACAATGTTATGAAGTATTAACAATTGTTGAAATGTAATATGTTTGTAATAGGAAGGATTCATTAAATAGATACGTTGTGGAAAATGTTAATGACTGTCTGAAACATAAGTAATGTTCAAGGAATGGGTTTACACGGATAAATTACCACTGCTAGAAGGACGATCTGTTTACATTATCGTTTTCTAAACAGCAAAGCATGTTAACGACACAAACAAATGGGTTCTACCTTATCATGTAAAACAATTTCAGATATTTATTGGATCAAATCTGCTTTTTTACTTACTAAACAGTTATAATAAATGGTTTCCGTTGTAAACTAAAATGAAAAAGGTATTCACTGAATCCGTAAGAAGTAAATGTATCCAAATCTTAAACGTCGTTTGAAATTATACATTGTGAAATCCCAAACTTTCATTAATTAATTATATGTTGTCATATTTTACCATCACTCAAAAATCTTTTATATACATGTTTTAATTATCAACTTCGAGTAAATCTGAATCTAGGAGTTAATAACAAACGGCCAACTTCTAATTTGCCTGATTTTGATCTTCATTTCTACCTCTCTCGAAGATTTTATCAGGATTACTTGAGCCTTGTTTTTTGCAAAGTCACGTTTGAGATTTAAGCATTTCATGTTTACTTATTTTTGTAGTATTTAATTTACCTTGTATTCAGACTTAAGGGCTGGGAGCTTTCATTTTCTGTAGGTTATAAAAGTGGGCATTTCAAATTCTAGTACTATTAAATGTGATAAACTGATTGTTTTTAATATTTCTTCATTATGTGCTGTTTTATTTATTTATGTGTTTGTATTCTTAGACAGTTAACACGGTTAAACAGGTATCTAAATCACATTGTAAAATGTATAATAGAAATCATTATACGGTTAAATATTTGTAACCAGTTAATTTACATTAACACATTGTTTGGTAATTTATTTAATAATCGTTAAAGAATAAAGTAAGCGTTCATATGGTTAGTTAAAATTTATTATTGTGACTACTGAAAAATATGAAATATGGGTAATTAGTGTTTGTTTAGTAACCGATTAAAAAAAATGCATCATCCTATTTACTGATCACTAGGCTTCATCCTTAGAAAATAACTAATCTAATAATAAATAAGTTATGAAGGCTATTAGCAATATACCCCCGTCGCAGCAAACCTGCATCCTAAGCGAATTTCCATTTACCCGGCTTGATTTCTACTAAAATATTCCCTATAAATTTTCAGATTTATTTCCTATTTAAATAACATCAATTATAGTGAGTAGTTAGGTTTGCTGCTACGGGGAAGATGTTGAGATGTGTTTTTTCAATTGAAATATTGATAGCTTTGTATGAAATAAACCAAATTGCCAAATTTGATTAAAGTATATCCATAAACAAGCAAACTAGAACAGTTTATTTATTCTCCATAAGAATAACATGGGAATTTTAAATTTACAATTTTTTAAATTTTCTCCGTATTCAATGAACATTCAAAAACACTTCAATATACTAAATTATTTGTTTTTTTAAGCTCTTCAAAATGGTCTAGAGAGAAATTTGGAAATTTTAAGTTTTTAGGGTCAAAAATGAGAAAACCCCATTTTTACCACATAAAACCCCCCATAAACCCCTGATCCCATGGTCCGATTATGCTGGTTCGCGAACTCGTTCGAATAAATGTAGGTTTACATGTTTGTATCAAATTTCATCAAAATCGGATCAATTTTGCTCGAGTTATCGCGCTAACGGACACATATATAAATATATATATATATATATATAAATATATATATATATATATATGAATTTGAACGGATGGTGTTTTTGGCCTCTGGGGACCTCAAAACGAAAAAGTAAATCGGTCCCGGGTCTAGGTCTTACCATGAGACCTACGGTAATAGCTTATTCCCTATATGGGAAATTCGCTAAAATGATTTTTATTCATTAGAAAAATATTACGAATGAGAAATCATAATGGTTGGATTGAAAGATATGGGGTTGAAGCGTGATAATTCAAGTAGGTCTCTAATAACACATCGGATTCACATTTATCACTAACCGATGTATTTACGAGTTCGATATAGGATAGGTTGTCGTCCTACTGAAATATTTGTATTGGTTACTGCATCGCAAATGGTTTTAGACTGTCTATTCCATCAATAGAAATATAGTTATACTGTACTAATTGAATTTGTATTTCACATCTTTTGTTTTAGCGAATTTCCCATATAGGGAATAAGCTATTACCGTAGTACTCGTGGTAAGACCTGGACCCGGGACCGATTTAATTTTTCCTTTTCAGGTCCCTAGAGACCAACCCATCCGTTCAAATCCATATATATATGAATTCTTATAGATATATATAAGAATTTGAACGGATATATATATAATATGTGTGTGTGTCCGTTAGCGAGATAACTCGAGCAAAAATGATCCGATTTTGATGAAATTTGGTACAAACGTGTAAACCTACGTTAATTCGAACGAGTTCGCGATCCAGCATAATCGGACCATGGGAACGGGGGTTTATGGGTGGTTTTATGGGTTAAAAATGGGCTTTTCCCATTTTTGACCCTAAAAACAAAAGAAATTTGCAATTTCTTTTTAAACCGTTTTGTATAGCTTGAAAAAAAGAAATAATTTTGTATATTGAAGCGCTGTTGTATGCCTAACGGTCACGGAGAAAATTTAAAAATAGTGTAATTTAAAATTCCCATGTTATTCTTATGGAGAAAATGAAAATTTTTATAGTTTACTTATTTATGGATGTATATTGATAAAATTTGGTAAATTTATTGATTTCATCCTATACTATAGATGTATGGTCAAAAATCACTTTTTACCTTCACCGTAGCAGCAAACCTAAGCACTCGTTAAATCTAATGTTATTTAAATAGGGAACAAATATGTCTAATTTATGGAAATATTTGAGTAAAAATATAATCAGACAAGTTTAAATTCGCTCAGTCTGCAGGTTTGCTGTGGCGGGGTATTATTTGTTAACATTTTGTTGGTGATCTTATCGTTAACAACATAACACAAATATGAAACTCGCAACGGATAACATAAGAAAAACCAAACAGTTATTTCAGTGAACTAATCAAATAGTTAGATAAATAACTGTCTAAAGTCATTTAAATTTAACATTGAAACAGAAATAAATTAGGCTACTAATGCAAATTATATATAATGTAACATTGTATCGTTCAAGCTAAATGAATAAAATATACAGCTAGGTTCTAAAAAACACAACACCCTTCATTTTCTAAATAACAGCTTTTTATGCTTTTTTATACAAAAAAATCAATGAATTTAGTAGGTACCAGTAATACAAAAAAAGTGTGACTAAATGTATGTTGACTATGGCGGATTTAACTTTGTTGACCACAATCCTCGTGTTATTTAGCTCACAAAATCTACGAATTTCCACCTGACAACGGTTCAAATGGAAATTAAATAAATATAAATATTTTGTTTTTGCTAAAAAGGTAAGTTTTATAAAACGGGTTTTTGGTGACATAGATTGTGGAGGAAATTTTCCGCTTGGTGGTCTCAGCCTCATAAAATGTAAATGCTCATTATATTCCTTAACAAGATGTGAAAACGGTCCTCGACGCTGAGCTTAAATTTGTTTAACTTTAATTTGTCTGTGTCTAACAGTGGAACATGCATTACAATACATTCTTATACACAAAAAATGTTTTATATTTGAATTAAAACTAAATTTTTCAATAAAGGGAGTTACAAAATATGTTTGCAATTTCCTTTTCTTGGTGCAATTGTATTAACGCTTTCAGAATAATGGGTTTTGTGTGTTACAAAATGCAATGCTATCGCTATCGCTAGCATTGCTAT